AAAAAAAAATGGAGATGGCTGGTATCCTACCCAGTCCCTTCGGCTCTGAAGGTCACATGTTTCTGCTCATACTAGAACAATAGAAATGGCCTTACATCATTTATTCATTCTTTCACTGACGATAGCATAAAGCCTCATTGGCTATAAGCCAGTAAGCTCAAAAAAGAATGCCGTTGTCTTTGTATTCATCACTGTCAAGACTTTCATCTTAATAGTGAATCTTGGTGGTCTGTACCTCAAGTACGACTGTATAATGTCCTGTGTCAAACCCTTACTATAATTTGGGATTTCGGTTGACTTAAGTTTATGGTAGGGGGCGGGGGGACACTTAAAAAGGGAGAGTCTCCAGATTTTACATCTCTGAGCTCAAAGCACAGGAAACAAGGTGTAAAGCTGGTAACTTACTTTGGACTGACACTGTTACAGTAGTTTATTTTGAACCATTCCATTTTTATTTGTATTCACCCATCCCCTATTAAAGACAACAGAAAACGCCATAATCCCTCCTTTTGAAAAATGCACATAATAAGACAGCTAGCCCCTTAGAAATGTTCTTTGAAGATGCCCTCCCTAGTACGGGTCTCAATTATTGAGTCATAAACCTGTTTATCAGGATTAAATACACGTGATGGAAGTTCAGCCCCACGCCCATGTATATATGCAAGCTGCAGCCAGGTATGTGTCACTATGCGATTCTAGCCAACTGACACGTTAAACACAATTGCAAGCTTTTTCTTCTGAAATACACAGCTACTCTCTTCGGGGTTCCCTGGGTCTTTATTGCCTAGACTACCGCGCGACACCCTCAGGGAGGGAAGGACGGGCAAGAAAAAGCTTACAATCGTGTTTAACGCGTTAGAATTGACCACTCCAGAAAATACCATAACATACCATATAGGCTCGATTTCCGCCGTCTCCCGGGTCCAGCTGAAGACAATGCTTATGCAAAATTTTGGGGTGACAAACAAAGAGCATTATGGTATGTCATGGTATTTTCTGGAGTGGTCAATTGGATTGGCCCATTCTGACAGTACTCTGCACTTCATCCCCCTGTAGATCGCCATATACACTTACCCTGGAGAGGCTCCAAAGCTCTTATTAACACACAGGCACCGGGTTCTTGACTAGAGACATTGAGGCAGTGATACATTCCGTAAATAACGTACACATAAGCCGTACCGGGTTCCATATACAAAGGTTCACAGCGACCTATTCGTCTTCCACCGTAAGAATGGCATGCTTTGTCAACCTCACCTAAATAGGCTTCCGTCTCAACTATCCGTCCAAACGACACTTCTCCGTTGTCAAGAACACGATAAAGTAGCTTCCCCAATAGTTTTTTAGCCAAGTCTTCGGCAGGTTGGTCGTAAAACGACCTGTCAAGTCTGGTCGAAGATCCATCAATTTTGCCCATTTGCTTTAGCCCTAGTTTTGTTTTCTTCGACAAATGGGTGTGTAAAGTATTGTTACAGTCCGTCTTGAAATATATACTCTCTGTGTATTCTTCCTTGATTTCAACTGAGGTCTCTAACTCTATTTTGTCGTTGTTTTTCCTCTTGGTCGCCTCACGCGTACGACCAGACGCCATATTGGTTTCCTAATATGACAAACGTTATGTAGACTTACACGAAATGCCCCTACTTTTAGTGTGTTACGAGGGTGCGGTGGGCGGGTGGGGGGAGGGGTACTGCCTTACATGGGCTAGAAAGATATCATTACACCCTGTGAACCAAACTCTTTACAAAAAAAACCTCAGATCTTTTGAATGCAGAACTGACTGCTTTGTAGCGCTACTAATTTTAAAAGTACAGGTGAACCTCTCTACAATGGCCACCTTGGGGACAGAAAGAAAGTGGCCATTGTAGAGAGGTGGCCATAGTAGAGAGGTTGAAACAAGAGTGAATGTATGGACTGTCCACCAAAAAAAAATGACCGTTGTAGAGAGGTGGCTGTTGGTGCAGGTTTGACTGTACCATGGTTACACATACCACTAAGAAGTAGATGGGCTGACAAAAAGCCCAATTTCATTCCATCCCATTTTGGCAGGGACAGTTAAATAAAATTGTTCTGAGTGAAATGATAGCCCATCAAATTATACATGAAAACAAAAGAGTTATATCAGTTTTAATATGTTTAATTTCATTCTACTTGCCCAGACTAGTGAGTTACAATTAGTAAAACATACATCTTACTATCATTGGTACCATGAACAAACAAATGATTATTTTCGACACAGATTTATAGGTAACAAGAGATACTAACAGTAAAAAAATTATTGAAAGCAAATGTTAGGTATTTGGTAGTATTTTGTGAGTTGACTGTTCTTTGTTGGCAGCACGTTCTTGCAGCTTTTTTAATAAAGTTTCACAATCATCTGCTACAATGAGAATATCTTGGTTTTCACCATACACAAACCCTTCTTTAACAGCATTCTGAATCTGAAATGAAATACAAGGGCATGTAAACATCTTTTTGAAGACTGAGCAGGGTGGATTATTAGCTTGATTAATGCCTTTCATATATGTTCCATATTTAGCCAATGAGCCTATAATGAAATTGATCAAACCTCAGACACCAAAGGGACAGAGCCAAGTTTCTGCATTACAGAAGTGCCTGTTTTACTGTCAAACCTTCTTAAATATGGACACCACAGAGTCAGAGCTAAGTGTCTACATAAAAGAGGTGTCCAATAGTACAAAAGTGGGGAGTGTATGAAGGTTGACATCAGTGGGACCAATAGACCTGTCTCTAACAGAGAAGTGTTCACAAAGACAGGATCGACTGTATGGCTTGGCTCACCATGAATTCTTATGCATCCCAGTCATTAGAGTGCAAGATCACCCAGACACAGATGTTATGTTTATATGTTATGGCTGGCTCAGTGATAAAACAACAAGGAGAGCACAGTGTAGCACCTAAGCTTGGTCAAGAATAATATTATTTAGGATTACGGGACCCCNCATTCTTATTAAAAAATAACTAACGTATTTGTGGCTATTCTTCCCACAGCTACATGTAGTTTACGCTCAATGAACTGATGTGTAGTCATTGAACTACGGGTGTGGTTATTGATCTGTTGTGTACTTATTGAACTGCTGTGTCGTTATTGAACGAACAAAAAGGAAAACTGGTAACTGGGATTTTGGCAAAAATTAGCCTGGGAACTGGGATTTGGGCCAAATTTAGGCTGGGAACTGGGATTTGGTACCCCCCTTCACGACCCTCATGGTTACACATACCACTAAGAAGTAGATGGGCTGACAAAAAGCCCAATTTCATTCCATCCCATTTTGGCAGGGACAGTTAAATAAAATTGTTCTATGTGAAATGATAGCCCATCAAATTATACATGAAAACAAAAGAGTTATATCAGTTTTAATATGTTTAATTTCATTCTACTTGCCCAGACTAGTGAGTTACAATTAGTAAAACATACATCTTACTATCATTGGTACCATGAACAAACAAATGATTATTTTCGACACAGATTTATAGGTAACAAGAGATACTAACAGTAAAAAAATAATAATTATTGAAAGCAAATGTTAGGTGTTTGGTAATATTTTGTGAGTTGACTGTTCTTTGTTGGCAGCACGTTCTTGCAGCTTTTTTAATAAAGTTTCACAATCATCTGCTACAATGAGAATATCTTGGTTTTCACCATACACAAACCCTTCTTTAACAGCATTCTGAATCTGAAATGAAATACAAGGGCATGTAAACATCTTTTTGAAGACTGAGCAGGGTGGATTATTAGCTTGATTAATGCCTTTCATATAATATTATGTTCCATATTTAGCCAATGAGCCTATAATGAAATTGATCAAACCTCAGACACCAAAGGGACAGAGCCAAGTTTCTGCATTACAGAAGTGCCTGTTTTACTGTCAAACCTTCTTAAATATGGACACCACAGAGTCAGAGCTAAGTGTCTACATAAAAGAGGTGTCCAATAGTACAAAAGTGGGGAGTGTATGAAGGTTGACATCAGTGGGACCAATAGACCTGTCTCTAACAGAGAAGTGTTCACAAGGACAGGATCGACTGTATGGCTGGCTCACCATGAATTCTTATGCATCCCAGTCATTAGAGTGCAAGATCACCCAGACACAGATGTTATGTTTATATGTTATGGCTGGCTCAGTGATAAAACAACAAGGAGAGCACAGTGTAGCACCTAAGCTTGGTCAAGAATAATATTATTAAGGATTACGGGACCCCTCCCCCCCCACCCCCTTGACCCCCACCAGAATCAGGTAAAAAATGTTACACTTGAACCTGTAAGAGACAACCCAAAGGCTGTCTCAGGCTTCTTTAGGGCCAAGATATTATTTTACAATCAAATCACACACACTCACAAAAACATTCTACAAACCCAGTCTATCAAGTTTCCCCAATAATTGGCAATATTTAATATTCCTATTGGTTTATCATGAAGTCCAAGCTGGACCCTGAAAAGCAAAGGAAAGAAGTCACGCATTTGACTCAAGCAGATCCGCAAAAAAAAGCCACAAGGAGAAAAGCACAGATAAGAAGCAACAAAAACTGTTGTTATCCTTACCATGTAATCATTTCTAGGAGTTCCTCAAAAGTACCATACCCTCCTGGTAAAGCTATCATAGCATCAGCCTGAAATCCATTAATAAGATTTAATAAAATCCCACTTTCTGTACAAACAACAACCTAGCCCTATGATTATCAGTAAAAGTAGCATTACATATGTTGTGGAGACAATGAACAATGTTAAAGTATAATACCTGCAAGGGCAAGACTGACTAGAATTTTCAAGTATTGATCTTTGATCTTTGATCTCTCCTGAAACCACATCCCCACTGAAAAGAGGGGTACAGGTCACACCCACAAAGAATGATTGTTGTTTCTCAACTTGCTCTGTATTTTGTTTAGCTTGTAACAAAACTTAGGGAGCTTACCTTTTCTAGCATGTTTCTCTTCCTAGTGTGCATGTCCTGAACTAGCACTGTCTTGCCAACACTATCCAAATTTCCACGATCTGGATTTAAAATAGCAGGTTACTATGTTTTCTTAACAGCAAACAGCCTAAAAAATGAGGTTGTTTCTGCAAACTACCCTACAAAATGGGCATGAAACCACTAAACCACCAGTGAGAGAAAGATGGACCCTCAAGCTAGATACAGCATAAATGAGTAGGGTTGTGTTTTATTTACAGTAGAATGAAAAATATCTGTCATCCTGTGTTTCAAACATCCTAGCAAAATATGGTTGATAATTTGTGGACAATGAAGCAATGAGAATGAAGGACAACTTTAAGCCTGTTCAAGAGACATATGATGAGAGAATGATGAAATGACCAATCACAGAAAAGTCTGCTGGTAACAAGTTTCATGTAGTGGGTTGAAACTTTTTTTTAGTTGAGTAGCCTTATAGTACCCTGTGAACTCAGCTTCCTGCCACTTGCTGATAGGTACTTTCTGATAGAGAGATTTGATGGTGGGAAATTTATGTATATTTGTAGGCTATATTATGTGATCATTTTATCTTTTGTGTTTTAGTTCACCTTTTCTGACTTAATTTGAAAGTTTGGCCTCAGACCTCATTGTGATTTGCATACCTTGAACAACAAAGAACTCGGGAAGAAATCCAGTCACCTCACAGCCTCCATCAGCAACAGTTTTGGCTATAGCTCCCATAAGACCTACTGTTCCTCCACCATATATCAGATTTATCTTATTTTTTACCATACACTCACCAAGAGCTGCAACACAAAGAAGTCAGTATTGATAAAGAAAATGTTTTTTCAATGCACTTTCTCTTATTCTTCTCAAAGATTATCTGTGTTTGCAGCAAATTTCTTCCCCCAGAAATTATGGGTAGTCTCTAAGTTTGTCCCTGGCTCCAACCTTCTGCTTACTCATAGTGTGGTTTGGTTGGAGTAAAGCCAGCTGTTCTGTATAGGAAAACTGAAACCTCATACATGCAAAGTACGCTTAATTCCCACGAATTTGGTCAGTGAAAGATTTTTGAAAGTTGAAAACCTACTAGTATGTACAGAAAGATGACTATTTAACAATAATTCCTCGAGCCCGAATGGGCTCTGAGTCAACAGCCCATGAGGCCGAAGGCTGAATGTGCTATTGACTTAGAGGGTGAGAGGAATAATTGTTTTGGTAAAATCCAACTAGTTGGTAAAAAATATATCGAGGCAAAACAACTTTAGCTTGCAAAACGCGATACAGCCGCTATTGTGGGCTATGCCATATAACCTAGTAGTAGCTCAACCAATAATACGCAGCAATGATAATAGACCACTAGTTGGATTTTACTAAAAGGAATTTTCCTTAATGTAACCCAGGTAACAAGCTAGTTAGAAAGCTTTCATTAGCCTTTCATTGTAAAATCCAACTAGTGGTATATTATCAATGCTGCATTCTGATTGGTTGAGCTACTACTAGGCTATATGTTATAGCCTACTAGTAGGGCGAAGTGCAGGCTTTTTGGCGGCAAAAAAGGATTAAAGTCTAGCTTTAACTAGCTAAAGTTGTTTTGTCTCTATATTTTTGACCAAATAGTTGGATTTTACTAAAACAATTATTCCTCTTGCCCGCATGG